AAGGGGCGTGAAAAAAAAAAAAAAAAATCGGGCATTTTGTATTGCGTAAGGGAAAGCCTGGCTGCATACAGAGTCTTACATCCGATGACAATCCGCTCCTGCAGCGGTTATGTGTTTGTCATGTTGTGGTGTTCCCTTGACGCCTCCGCCATTCCTTACGTAGTGAATGGTTGTGCATCACGACTTGGAGGTCACGATGTGCATTGAGTTCGTAATTTGGAATGAGTTGCGCGGGCAAGGAGCAGTGTGGCTGAAGGCATGTGAACTCAGCCCGAAGGTGGTTACAGACGTACAGCCCCGCCTATAGGCGATTCGCCCAGCAATGCAGAAGGCAGGCAGCAAACAAATATTCTACATTTGACATTGCAACCGGAACTGGCATTGCGTCCGCGTTGTCGGATTTCCTGTCATGCAAAACAACACGAAACCAGACATCGAAAGTATCGGAGGGCGAGCACCGCGGAGTGTTGTTGAGCCGTCATTGCGCCAGCGTGCTCACGGATGCACCTGTGGAGCGGCGCAGGCGGCAGTGGCGGTTTCGGCATGTCATAGCATGTCTGGTCCGGCAGACTCACCAGGATCGACGGATCGACGACTCGCTGCACCCAAACAGGCCTGGCTTCAGCGGGCGGCATTTTGATGGCACGGCTGTGTTTTCCACGGGCATGTATGAAGCTTACAGCAGAGTAGCAGCGAGAACCAGCATGCCCACATGTGATAAACATTCGCATTGCGGCCGGATTTGTTGCCCTCAAACATGCGTGGCATATCTTGCTAGAATGTCGCTGTTGCAGTCATGCGGGCCGTTCGTTGTAGCTTCATGGAGCGGATGGCTGAAATTCTCTTGGCTGCCCGATGATGCCTGGACTGCCAGTGAGCCGATGTGGACCTGGGCTGGCGGAGCAATCTTGCTAGGAGGCCGGGAGGCCGAACGACCATCGCATAGCTGTGCTTCGCTGGTGAGCAGCTCAGGACTGCTGCTATGGCCACCAGTCCAAGTGAGTCCAGAAGTTGCCGTCATCAATGCATTGGTTTTGGCGATTTGGCTTCACTTACCCACAAAGCTTTTCTTGAATCTCTTTGCGTTTTTGTGCAATGCAGAAAACGCTGGAAGTAGAGTTAACCTTGCCAGGTGCTGCTGTGTTGCCTCTGTATCAGCAGAATGGCCTTTGCGGGAAAGGGGCATGTGTGGCACATCGCGCCATCTTCTATGGAAAGACTTGGATTGCTGGACTCAGCTAATTTGCGTGCCTCGCATGCAGATCACAGTGCCGACAGGAGAGCAATGTATCGGGTCACAACTTGATCTGGTATTCCGTTGTGCCTGAATGGGTTCCCGACATGTTTCCTTAGTTTCGTTCTTTCAGAAGTCGTGTAAGGGATGGCATTGCTCTATGCCGCCAGCTCGCTGACAGTGTTGGGCACCCTCCAGATCCTTGCCAAATGTAACATGCTTCATCATATTTTCATATGTCTGGCAGAGAGTTGACGTAAGGGACGTTTGTTGCAGGTTCTTCGTGATCGTTTCGCGGTTGTTACCTGACCTTTGGCAATTTCGCGATGCACATGCGGCTGCCGGGCGGCGAGAGCCGACTCCGTTAAACAATTGCTTGTCCACATCTTGCCCGTGCGGGCTTGACCCCACGTGTTGTGAGTGAGGTTGGTGCGCAGATCATCAACGGGTTTCCAGCTGACCTGGAATTGAACATGACAAACGGCGAGCTGTTCAGCTCCCGCCGTGGGGCCCAGCGCATTATTTCATGATTTCATGCAGACTTGTCTTGCCACATGTGACTGTGCCCCAGTGTGACTTATCATGCCGGATGGTTGCGGAAGAAATGTATCGATTGTCGTGCACTGTGTCTGCACTAATTATTTTTCTTGTATTTCTTTTGCCGGATCTATCGCAAATTGGTGCAAACACACAACATGTCGGAACTGCGATTGCTGCAAATGGCAGAGGTCGGTCTTTTTTCCCAAGGGTGCACAGGTGAAGAAAGGTGTGATTGTGTGCTTGGTTGTTCGG